CTCATTGTGTTTGTGAATTCGGTTACTTGTGGGTCCTGGTCGTGTAGTATGTTTATGTTGAAATCTCCTGTTAGTAGTAGGCGGTCTTTTATTCATGTGTTCATCATTTAAACATGTTTCCTAGTTTTTCACTAAGTGATAAATGTTTGACTGTGGTACTTGTAGATGTTTTTAAATGTGAGGGGTTTTTGCAGGTTTTTTTGATTTAAATTTTGGCTATGATATATTCTCCATGTTCGTCCCTTGTGCAGGATTTATTAATGCATTCGAGTTGATTTGAGTAGTATATAGCTGTTCCTCCCCCTTGCTGGTCTGTTCTATAGTTGTGTATGGCCATGTAGCCAGGAATGGCATAGACATCTGTAATATCAGGCTTAAGCCAGGTTTCTCTGAGTGTGATGATTGATATATTGGAATGAAGGGAACTGAGTAATGCTGTGAGGTCATCATAATGTTTGCTCAAGGATCTGACATTGTAGTTAAAGATGGTTATGTTATTGTTTGCACCAAGTAATGTCTATGCTTGGTCTGCTGTGTAGTAATTACAGTTACTGTTTGATTTGTGTAATTCATTTAGTAAAAAGTTTACATCAGGATCTATGTTTGTAATCATAGGATGAGAGTAATTTTACAAACTAGATTTTCTGAGTAAAATAATATAAAAGTTATATTGAATCTACAACTAGACTTATGAATAAGACTTCGTAATTACAGTATTCTTAAAACCTGTAAAAATTTGAAGGAAAAAGGGACTATTACAGTACAGATAATTCAGTTATACACTTAAGCATCTAATAGCACCTTAATTGTTTCAACAAATGCGAGTTTATGAACTACAGTAGATATTTACAGCTAGAGTAAAGGAACTAGTGAATATAATAATGAAAGAGTGTATTAAAAGCAAGAATTAAAACAAAATCAGTAGCACCTGAGGCAGTCAATAGCACCTGAGGCAGTCAATAGCATCTGGAGTATTTTAATAAATGAGGCCTGGTCACAGACCGGGCCGCGGGGGCGTTGACCCCCGGAACTCTCTCCAGGTAAACTCCAGGTAATATGGACAAGAGGGAAAAAAAATATTAAATCTCCTGAAATTAGCCCTTTAATTGTTGTTAGAACTAGCAGTATAGTAATTACTGAATAAAGGGCAGTACAATGTATTGGTATATAGAGAATTATTTCAGGCGAAATGTAAAAAGTGACTAAATTAAGTAGTGGTAAAAACAACCTTTAAATTAACACTATGATATGAAATTAATCAGAGTAGGATTTGCCTTATAACAAAGTTTGAGCAATTGATACCACTAAAGAAATATTATTTGAGGTAGTTGATACTAGTTAGTGAAAGATGGTACAAGGAATTACACTGTAGTGTAGTAGGAGCATACACTAGTTTGTTGTTGTTTAGGAGCAAAGGGAAAATTAGGTAATATTATAGAAGAATTATAACAGTGCTTAAGTAGGAATAAATGGTAATACAGATATTATTAACAAGTAATAAATTGTGAAAGGGAAATCTGGGAAGATAACACAAATTGGGTCACACAAGGAACTGTGTGGGACACATGGGATAATGAGGTAGTAAATATTATCCAGGAGGTGATAGTACAGGGATTAATTCAATAATGGCATAACAACATACTAACGATAGTACATGATTTGGTCACTAATATCAGTCAGACTCTGTAATGTTTGCGTCATGAAGGAAGTTCGCTAGTTCATTTTCATTTGTAATATAGTACACACGGCCTACATTTGTTTTTCTTACTAGAATTTGTCCATCACGTACAAAGCACTGGTGAATTTTATCATTATTCTCAAGTTTCAGTTTTCTCACTCTGTACAGGAGGTTCTGTCGTTTTCTTGCGAGACTCATTTTTTGTGTGAAATCTGAGAATAACACTTTCTCCCTTGGTTTCCTAGTAACCGTGATTCTTTAATTTCCGACACTGGCACATTAACCTGTAGGTGGTCGCGTATGATCACGTATGCCAGTGTGACCATTTGTGGTCATTTCAGACTCCCTTAGTGCTATACAGGCTATACTACCTTAGCTCATTATTTTTTTTTTACATTTGTTAAATAATTCAGGTGCTATTTTTTTAGCTTTAGAATATTTACTTTATTTTTTACTTAAGTCTAACTATAGATTCACTACAAATCTTATGATTACAAGCATTGATCCTGATACCAACCTCTTATTTAGTGACTTAAATGATTCAAACAGTTACTGTAATTACTACACAGCAGAACAATCAAAGGCACTTCTCAGAGCCAACAACAACATAACTATCTTTAACTACAATATCAGATCTTTAAGCAAGCATTATGATGACCTCCTAGCATTACTAAATTCCTTACATGCCAATATGTCCATCATTACACTAACTGAAAACCTGGCTAAAGCCTGATACTACAGATGTGTATGCCCTCCTGGGTTTCACAGCCCTACACACTGTAGGCCAGACCCACAAGGGGGTGGCACAGCTATATACTACTCAGCCAACTAGAATGTATCACTAATACTTGCAAAAGGGATGAACATGGGAATATATAATAGCTAAATTCAAATCCATAACCTAAATAAAACCTCCACAAATGATAACATCTACCCGAGTTCCCCAATCAAACATAGCCAATTTAGTCAAAACCTAGGAAGTATGATAACTGATGCGCGCATGAACAAAGATCACTTACTACTCTCGGGTGACTTCAATATAAATCTCCTACAAGACCAGGACCCCACACGTTACTGAATTCCACAAACACAATGAGTAACTGCATGTTGCTACCAACAGTAACAAACCTACAAGAGTTACAGAGACTAGTGTTTCCCCACTTGACCACATCTGGACCAATACCATATCCCCTTTAAAATCAGGCTAATTAACAGATAATACCACAGACCACTACCCTACTTTCCTCCTAACTCTTGGTAAAATACCCCAAGACACTACTAAAGTCCCCCTTCAGACTTCACAATGAGGCAGCCATTAATAAAATTCACAACAGCAGTAACAAACATTGACTGGCACACTGAGCTAGAAATCTATACAGATATTGACGAATGTTTTAATAATTTTTTTAAAAAGACCCAATACCTGTATAACAAGCACTGCCCTAAAAAAACTAAACAGATGACAGCTAAGAGACTGAACAGTCCCTGGCTAACACCCAGCATTCTCAATCCATAAAAACAAAACACCGATATGAAAAACAGTACAGAATGGGGTCACATAACCAGAGACCAAACAAAACGTTACTCGTCAATCCTAACCGCCTGATAAGAAGGGCAAAAAATTGTATTATGAGAACAGAATTATCCACTTACGAGGCGATATAAAAAGACCCGGAAGACCCTATCAGAAATTCGGGAACAAAAAAAGATATCACGACATAGCGAAATAAAATTTTGCAAAATCAGATGAACCCCAACTCCCACCAACAGAAACAGCAACCAGACTATGATTTCTTCTCCACTATAGGTCAAAAACCTTGCCAAAAAATCCCCAAACTCAGATACCCCACCAAATGACTACCTCACTGGCAACTACCCCGAACACACCCGTTCCTAGCTCCGACTAACCCATACGAAGTCTCCCTTATTATCAACGCACTGAAAAACAAGGCAGGAGATTTAAAAACCTTACCACCCTTTATATACAAAAAAGCGTCCCCAAGTACTATCACCAATCATTGCAACACTCTTTTAAAAAATACATTGAATCATCCACCTTCCCCCAGTTCTCAAAATAGCAAGGGTCACCCTGATCCACAAAGGAGGAGACCAAACAGAGTTGAATAACTATAGGCCAATATCCAATTTACACCCTCTCAAAAATCTTCAAAAAATTAATTCAAAAAACGAATCTACTCCTACCTCATCTCTCAAAACATTCTCAACCCTGCCAATTTGGATTTCAGGCCTAATAAAATACTAAAGATGCTATTATACACATGCTAGAACATATGTACACTGCAATAGAGAAAAAAGTCCCACTGGGGATCTTCATTGACTTACATAAAGCTTTTGATACAGTTGACCATGACTTGCTCCAAAGTAAAATTTTCACACAATGGTATTAGAGGGGACTCCCTCAACTACCTCAAGTCTTACCTCAGCAACAGAAGCCAATATGTGTACGCAAATGGGGCAAGCTCTTCCGCACAACCAATTACAGTTAGTGTCCCCAGGGAAGTGTCCTTGGCCCTCTTTTCTTTCTCCTATACATTAATGACCTACCAAATGCTTCGCAATTACTCAAACCCACACTTTTTGCAGATACACACATACGTCTTCTCTCAACCCAAGCCCAGTCACGCTAGCCAATACTGTAAACACCGAAATTACAGAAAATATCTACCTGGATGAGGACTAACAAACTTACACTAAACATTGACAAAACCTATTCATTCAGTTTGGTAAAAGAGCTACAGATTACCTCTTAACATAATGATAAATGGATCACCTACACAAAGCTAACAGAGGGAAAATTCTTAGGAATCCACCTCGATAAGACTCAAATTTCATACACATATACAACAAATTTCTAAAAATTTCCAAGACTGTAGGCATACTATCGAAGATACGGTACTATGTTCCACAGTCAGCCCTCCTGGCCCTTTATCACTCTTATTTACCCCTATCTCACCTATGGAATTTGTGCATGGGGCTCAACAACAAGTAACCATCTCAGACCACTAATTACCCAACAAAAGGCGCAGTTAGAAAGATAACAAATTCTCACTATAGGCGCACACTCCACCAATATTCAATACATAAACCTACTCACCATACAAAACATCCATACTTTTTACTGCACCTATTACATACATAGAACACTTAACTCTGATATTAACCCTCCCCTCAAACATCTCCTTGCCAACCTCAACAGAACACATGACCATAAACACAAGGCACAGATCACTCTTTGATGTTCCTCGTGTCCAAACTCACGCTAAAGCAAAAACTCAATGCACATAAAAGGCCCTAAAATCTGGAACTCATTACCTTTAAATATAAAAGAAAAACTACCTGTTTATAAATTCAAGTCTCTTCTCAAAGTTCACTTACTCAAAACCAAATAAATACTGAATAACTGAACCTTAAAATTATATCACAAATGTTAAACCTAGGACCCAATCTAACTTATTTTTTTAAATACACTACCTAACAGAATACTCCATTCTACTGAATGAACAGCAATGCATGCAACCATATGACCTGTCTTTGTAATACTCATTTGTGCTTTATAGTTATCCGTTTACAATAATGTCTTATCACTTATTTCATCATTGCTTAGTTAATCTTAAGTTAATTTTAAGCCAGCCCGTAATGCTATGCATATAAGTGGCTTTGGCATGCTGCTCTTACCTGTATTTTTTTTGTACCTCCGTATGTATGCTAAAATTTCTAAATAAAATAAAATAAATACAAAAATTTGATACACCTCACCCCCTAGTTTTTCCATATCCAACTTCGGTTATGCCACATCTCTAGCAAACAGATAGTTTTTTTGTTGGGTCCCTGGTCATGTTGATGTACAGGGCAATGAACAGGCAGACACTGCTATGCAATCAGCAGTACATGACTTCACAGTTTCCTATAGAGGTGTTCCATTCACAGATAATTTTGCTGAAATTGCTACCCACCTTAGCACTCGTTGGCAACAACGTTGGTCTGATCTGCTCCATAAACTTCATTCTATTAAACCGAGTACAGGTTTCTGGCCATCTTCTTGTCTCCCGTCTTCGCGTCGGCCACACGGGTATCTCTTGGAGAAGTGCCCTGTTCCTCTGAGAATTGTCAAGTTCCAGTATCTGTTAGCCACATTCTGTTGGACTGTCCACTATCTACGAGCACGCAGAATTTACCTCCAATGTTGTCTCCACTCTGCTACCCTTTCTTAACCTTTCCTTCTTGCTGATGGACCCTCCTCTAATCCAGACACTCGATTGACAGTAGCTGATTTACTACACAAACTGATGATGATGCCTCTAGCAGTCTCCTCCATCCTTTCTATCTTAATCTCTAGCTACCCTCTACCCCTGCACTATCCACTGCCTGGCTACATTCCATACCTTAATCATCCCTCTCCCTCTTGCCGCCCATTTCCCCTTCATCCTTCCTTGCCCTGCTGTGCTGTATAACTCTTGCGGTTTAGCCCTTTTTTTTATTATAATAATCATTACTGGAACCCTAGAGTAGAAGTAGAAGGTATAATTTAGAGGAACTTCAGCAGAGGCTCTCCTTTATAGAGGAAAATTCCCATAACCACTCCAACTTACACAACAGATAGGGATTACTATTTTCTGCTGGGAAACATTAAACCCTATTCAAGCAATGGGAGGACAAGCTAATTAATGCCATCAGGAGCACCTCCATAGAGGGGAGATCCATTGTATTAGCTCTGGTATCTTATTGCCTTTAAAGTATATAGACTTGCCCTAATTTATTCCTCTGTTGCCTGAAAGTGAGCTCCAAAGTAGTTATCTAATTCGTTGCCCTGTGGCCTAGTGCCTAAAGCTCTCTTCAAGCTGCAAGGGGCCGGGTTCGATTTCCAGTGAAGGGGTGGAAACGTCGAACCTGTTTCCTTACACCGGTTGTCTATGTTCACCCATCAGTAAAATAGGTACCTGGGTGTTAGTGGACTGGTGTGGGTCGCATCCTGAGACAAAACTGACCTAATTTGTGGGAAATGCTCAGCATAACAAGAAGCTTTCTATATAGTAGTATGTCACTCATGTCATCTATGGTCTGTATACCTTGTATATGTACTGGCAGTAAATCAAGATATTATGTTCCATGGAAGATTTACCACTCAGTTCATGAGAATTTGTGCTGATTAGCAGTACAGTATTAATACACTTAGCCAAGCTGTACCTGGTTAAATGTCAACTAGCATTAGATAGACATCTCAATAGTGTGCTTATGGGACATCTGTACGCCTTTAAAACGCTAGCTGCGAGGATTTATTACTGTCGTCTATAGCTTATTAGAGGTTGTATCCGAAAAGACATTAAGCCAGGTAGTCTGGCTGAGTATATTAGTACTGTACTGCTAGGCAGCACAAATTCTCAGGACTTCAGCGGTATATCTTCCATGGGAATTGGACGACAAAAATAAATTAGGGCAATTTCATATAATATAAAGACAACAACATACCGCTTTTGCTTTGAATTTCAATATTATTGTCACACTTTGTAGAATCTTATTTACTTAGCTTCACGATTAGTTTATCTAGATTACCCTTTAGTCCAGTGTTCCCAAACTGGGGGTAATGGTAGAGTAATGCTCTCTCTAGACTCTAGAGAGAGCATTACTCTACCATTACCCCCAGTTTGGGAACCACTGCCAGTGAGTTTAGTCACTTTTGTAGTAATGTGTGAAGTGTCATTACAGTATTACTCTGTAAACTTCTGTCAAGGTTATCATATCTTATTTCCACAGTTAACTTATCTTGAAGTATATGAAGAGGAAACTTCCCCCACTTTGGAGGCCAAAATTGAAGAGAGAGAATGGCCCTTTTGATTTAGTCCAAGTGATGTTCCTAGATTAAATAGCTCTTTGCTAATGCAATAATTTCACTGACGTGCCTAGATAGCATTCACCCTAGGTAAGGAATGGTAGCTCATAACCTTTACAAGTCTCATTAAAGGCAGACGATATGCATAAGGAGGAATTAAAATTAATTTTAAAAAGTTAAAGTGTAAAACTAAGTCAATTTACACAGTAAAACAAACTTAAAACATTAAATAAGATACCTTCACCCATGCAGAGAGTCCACAGCCTTATTAAAATTTTAACTATCTTCAAAATTATTTCCAGCACCTCAAACTGTTAAAAACTAATTAGAAATAGGGTCTTCCTAGGTGACTTTTCTCTTCTACCTTCCAGCCACGTAGCCACAGACGTCACATTGTTGCCCACGTAACATATAAAGTATTGCCAGTCCCAGGGGAAAGAGACAGATGGCTGCACATATACCACAGGTGGGATACACATTGTGAAGGTCACCAATCTGTTAAAAATGTCGTACATTAAAAGGGAAGGACTGAATCAGCAAGGATCCAATTGTTATGGTAATGAGGTTTTAAATGTAGGATAGACCCAGTTCCTTAATTCCCTTCACCAGTATCATGGCATTTCCCTTAAATGAAAAAAATAATATACTTAAAGAGCTTACTTGCTAGGAGACAAGTGTACAATTTGACTCATTCTAAGTTTTATATAAGGCGGCAAATGCATCTATATATACTAATTGTAATTTATAACATTATTAAAACCAGAAAATTGTTCATACATCCTATCAAAACATTAAACTTTCTAATTTTCTTTATGGAAAAGCTCTCAATTAAGAGGAAGATAAAACTCTTTTTTAATAATTTATACTTTTAAAACAAATTAAATTAAAACTGGAAATTAACGTGTTGCAGGAGTTTCGTCATTACACTTGCCTTGCAGCTGGGGCAGGAACCTGGGGTAACACTGATACCCGGTGGTGGTGGTGTGTCTTGGGCAGCTGCTGCTGCACCTGCCTGGGAAGAAAACCCTGGGAACGAGCCCAGTGAAGAGCTGGGGGCAGAGTCTGAAAAATAATTAAATTTAGTTTGAAGGGACAAGTTGTATATAAACAGCTCTTCGCCTACAAACACTTCGTAAGGAGTTTGTTTAACGAGGGCAAAGTATTCAAGAAGTATAAACTCTGTTACCCATATTGGGAAGTGCTTTTTTCCCTTCAAGTGCTGTACAACTTAAGCGAATAACACTTTATATAACTTGTTGCTCTCCAGTAACAGATCCTCCACATTAACAGTCCATTATGTGTAGTAGGTTGGTAGACGGCAACCACCCAGGGAAGTACAGTGGACCCCCGCATAACGATTACCTCCGAATGCGACCAATTATGTAAGTGTATTTATGTAAGTGCGTTTGTACGTGTATGTTTGGGGGTCTGAAATGGACTAATCTACTTCACAATATTCCTTATGGGAATAAATTCGGTCAGTACTGGCACCTGAACATACTTATGGAGTGAAAAAATATCGTTAACCGGGGGTCCACTGTACTACCATCCTGCCAGATGACGGTGAAACAGAAACCTGTTTTGCATGATGGTAGGATTGCTGGTTTCTTTTTCTGTCTCAAACATGCTAGATAACAGGAATAGCTTGCTACTCCTACTTACACTTGGTCACACTTCACAGACACGCACATGCATAGGTATATATATATATACATACATCTAGGTTTTTCTCCTTTTTCTAAATAGCTCTTTTTCTTTATTTCTTCTATTGTCCATGGGGAAGTGGAAAAGAATCTTTCCTCCGTAAGCCATGCGTGTCGTATGAGGCAACCAAATTGCCGGGAGCAATGGGCTAGTAACCCCTTCTGTAGACATTTACTAAAAAAAGAGAAGAAAAACTTCATAAAACTGGGATGCTTGAATGTGCATTGATGTAGTGCGGATGACAAGAAACAGACGATTGCTGATGTTGTGAATGAAAAGAAGTTGGATGTCCTGGCCCTAAGCAAAACAAAGCTGAAGGAGGTAGGGGAGTTTCGTTGGGGGGAAATCTGGGATTAAATCTGGAGTATCTGAGAGAGAGCTAAAGAAGGGGTAGCAGTAATGTTGAAGGATCAGTTATGGAAGGAGGAAAGAGAATATGAATGTGTAAATTTAAGGATTATGTGGATTAAAGTAAAGGTTAGATGCGAAAAGTGGGTCATAATAAGTGTGTATGCACCTGGAGAAGAGCAATGTAGAGGAGAGAGATTTTGGGAGATGTTAAGTGAATGTATAGGAACCTTTGAACTAAGTGTGAGAGTAATTGTGGTAGGGGACCTGAATGCTAAAGTAGGAGAAACTTTTAGAGAGGGTGTGGTAGGTAAGTTCGGGATACCAGGTGTAAATGATAATGGGAGCCCTTCGGTTAAACTTTGTATAGAAAGGGGTTTAGTTATAGGTAATACATATTTTAAGCAAAAGAGGATAAATAAGTATACAAGATATGATGTAGGGCGAAATGACAGTAGTTTGTTGGATTATGTATTGGTAGATAAAAGACTGTTGAGTAGACTTCAGGATGTACATGTTTATAGAGGGGCCACATATATCAGATCACTTTTTAGTTGTAGCTACACTGAGAGTAAAAGGTAGATGGGATACAAGGAGAATAGAAGCATCAGGGAAGAGAGAGGTGAAGGTTTATAAACTAAAACAGGAGGCAGTTAAGGTAAGATATAAACAGCTATTGGAGGATAGATGGGCTAATGAGAGCATAGGCAATGGGGTCGAAGAGGTATGGGGTAGGATTAAAAATGTAGTGTTAGAGTGTTCAGCAGAAGTTTGTGGTTACAGGAAAGTGGGTGCAGGAGGGAAGAGGAGCGATTGGTGGAATGATGATGTAAAGAGAGTAGTAAAGGAGAAAAAGTTAGCATATGTGAGGTTTTTACAAAGTAGAAGTGATGCAAGGAGGGAAGAGTATATGGAGAAAAAGAGAGGTTAAGAGAGTGGTGAAGCAATGTAAAAAGAGAGCAAATAAGAGAGTGGGTGAGATGTTAACAAATTTTGTTGAAAATAAGAAAAAGTTTTGGAGTGAGATTAACAGGTTAAGGAAGCCTAGAGGACAAATGGATTTGTCAGTTAAAAATAGGAGAGGAGAGTTATTAAATGGAGAGTTAGAGGTATTGGGAAGATGGAGGGAATATTTTGAGGAATTGTTAAATGATGAAGATAGGGAAGCTGTGATTTCATGGATAGGTCAAGGAGGAATAACATATCTTGTAGGAGTGAGGAAGAGCCAGTTGTGAGTTTGGGGGAAGTTCGTGAGGCAATAGGTAAAATGAAAGGGGGTAAGGCAGCTGGGATTGATGGGATAAAGATAGAAATGTTAAAAGCAGGTGGGGATGTAGTTTTGGAGTGGTTGGTGCTATTATTTAATAAATGTATGGAAGAGGGTAAGGTACCTAGGGATTGGCAGAGAGCATGCATAGTTCCTTCGTATAAAGGCAAAGGGGACAAAAGAGTGCAAAACTTATAGGGGGATAAGTGTGTTGAGTATACCTGGTAAAGTGTATGGTAGAGTTATTATTGGAAGAATTCAGAGTAAGACGGAGAATAGGATAGCAGATGAACAAGGAGGCTTTAGGAAAGGTAGGGGGTGTGTGGACCAGGTGTTTACAGTGAAACATAAGTGAACAGTATTTAGATAAGGCTAAAGAGGGTTTTGTGGCATTTATGGATTTGGAAAAAGCATATGACAGGGTGGATAGGGGGCAATATGGCAGATGTTGTTGGTGTATGGTGTACGAGGTAGGTTACTGAAAGCAGTGAAGTGTTTTTATGAGGATAGTGAGGCTCAAGTTAGAGTATGTTAAAAGATAAAGAATTGCACAAAGTGGTAGTTGTCACAGTTGCTCTTTGCTGATGACACTGTGCTCTTGGGAGATTCTGAAGAGAAGTTGCAGAGATTGGTGGATGAATTTGGTAGGGTGTGCAAAAGAAAATTAAGAGTGAATACAGGAAAGAGTAAGGTTATGAGGATAACAAAAAGATTACGTGATGAAAGATTGGATGTCAGATTGGAGGGAGAGAGTATGGAGGAGATTAATGTATTCAGATATTTGAGAGTGGACGTGTCAGCGGATGGGTCTATGAAAGATGAGGTGAATCACAGAATTGATGAGGGGAAAAGGGTGAGCGGTGCACTTAGGAGTCTGTGGAGACAAAGAACTTTGTCCTTGGAGGCAAAGAGGAGAATGTATGAGAGTATAGTTTTTACCAGCACTCTTATATGGGTGTGAAGCATGGGTGATGAATGTTGCAGCAAGGAAAAGGCTGGAGGCAATGGAGATGTCATGTCTGAGGGCAATGTGTGGTGTGAATATAATGCACAGAATTCATAGTTTGGAAGTTAGGAGGAGGTGCAGGATTGCCAAAACAGTTGTCCAGAGGGCTGAGGAAGGGTTGCTGAGGTGGTTCGGACATGTAGAGAGAATGGAGCGAAACAGAATGACTTCAAGAGTGTATCAGTCTGTAGTGGAAGGAAGGCGGGGTAGGGGTCGGCCTAGGAAAGGTTGGAGGGAGGGGGTGAAGTAGGTTTTGTGTGCGAAGGGCTTGGACTTCCAGCGGGCATGCGTGAGCGTGTTTGATAGGAGTGAATGGAGACGAATGGTTTTTAATCCTTGACGTGCTGTTGGAGTGTGAGCAAAGTAACATTTATGAAGGGATTCAGGGAAACCGGCAGGCCGGACTCGAGTCCTGGAGATGGGAAGTACAGTGCCTGCACTCTGAAGGAGGGGTTTTAATGTTGCAGTTTAAAAACTGTAGTGTAAAGCACCCTTCTGGCAAGACTGTGATGGAGTGAATGATGGTGAAAGTTTCTTTTTCGGGCCACCCTGCCTTGGTGGGAATCGGCCAGTGTGTTAATAAATTAAAAAAAATATTAGTCCTGCAGGAAAAACATTTATTTTTGAAGGTGGGAAATAAAACTTACAGATAGTAGAGTTGCGATTCCATCTGTCACGGGCCGACCCAGTTGCCATACGACTGGCAACAACTGCAAAGAAATATGAATATGCTAGTAAGTTTAGTTTTATCATTCATGTCAACCAAGGCAATCTTGAGATAAAGGTTTGAAAGGGGAGGGGAAGAGGTTTAGGAAGAAGTTAAAGTATTGGGAAGCAAAAGTGGATGCATTTAGAAGTCTTTGGATCGAGGGTGCTTTATCTTTGGAAGAGATCCCCCCGTCCCTCCTCCCGGCCACCTATTTCTCCCTTCTAGTTTAGAGTTTTGAGAGGAAATTAATAAACCCACATCGTACATGCGCACCATTCTAAACTTCAGCTTATATCTTGGTTGGAGCCAGACTAACATACATGGGCAAGTGGCCTTCCAGAAATTCCCTCTTAAGGGAAGGCCCCCTGAAATTTTGGCCAACTTTTTTATTTTTCAACTGATTTTTATTTTTGGTGTACTTTTAGAGGTGCATATGTAGAAGAATGTGACAAAGTTTGAGTATGATTGGCCAACAAACAGAAAAAAAATATTTACTGACTTTTGATATATGGCAGCATTTCTGACAAATTGGCACTACGAGTGGCACTTCCGACAATCCCAACTGTTAGAATACGTCTAACACGATTTTTATGCACTGCCATTTCATCTAATATATCTTATTATCATGGTAAAAAAAAAGTACATTCGATAGACTTTTTGGCATTCACCAAAATATCTGCCTTTTACCCCCCACAAAATCAAAAATATTTGAGATATTCCAAAAAATTGTCCCATGAATACAAAAACACATTGTCTGAAAATCATTTCAATACAATCATTTATTTATTTATTTAATTTATTAATTTGAACATGATACAGTGAAGTACAAAAGAATACAGTTAAATGCAGCATGCCAAAGCCACTTGAATGCATAGCATTACAGGCAGGTTTAAAATTAACTTAAGATTAACTAAGCAATGAAGTATTCAGTGGTAAAACATTATTGTAAACAGATAACAATTAAGCGCAAATGAGTATTACGAAGACAGGTCGTATGGTTGCTTGCATTGCTGTACAATCAGTATTTATTTATTTATTTAATTTGAACATGATACAGAGAAGTACAATGAATACAATTTTTAAAGTGCAGCATGCTAAAGCCCCTTGTATGCAGAGCATTATGGGCAGGCTTAAAATTAACTTAAGATTAACTAAGCAATGATATACACCTACCACCTATGGAGGAGGTGAATGTATTCAGATATTTGGGAGTGAACATGTCAGCAGACAAGTCTATGAAAGATGAGGCGAATCATAGAATTGAGGTTAAAAACGTGATTGGCGAACTTAGGAGTTTATGGAGACAAAGAACTTTGTCCATGGAAGCAAAGAGGGGAATGTACAAGAGTATAGTTATACCAACACTCCTATATGAGTGTGAAGCATGGGTGATGAATGTTGCATCAAGAAATTTGGAGGCAGTGGAGATGTCGGAGATGTCTTGTCTGAGGGCAATGTGTTGTATGAATATAGTGCAGAGAAGTCACAGTTTTGAAATTAGGAAGGGGTGTGGGATTACCAAAACTACCACCAAGAGGGCTGAGGAGGGGTTATTGAGGTGGTTCGGACATGTGCAGAGGATTGAACGAAATAGAATGACTTCGAGTGCTGCACTAGTGTCTCAATCTTCAACTTGTCGGTTTTAAATCATTTACCAAGTCTATAGTTTTGGAAAGGCAGGGTAGAGGTCGTCCTAAGAGGAAGGGCGGGGGGTAAAGAAGGTTTGGTGTGCGTGGGGCTTTGACTTCCAGCAAGCATGCGTGAGCATGTTAGGAACCAATTGAGACAAATGGTTTTTAGGACTGTGCTGTTGGAGTGTGAGCAAGGTAACATTTATGAAGGGATTTAGGGAAACCGGCAGGCGGAATCGAGTCCTGGAGATGGGAAGTACAGTGTCTGCACCCTGAAGGAGGGGTGTTAATGTTGCAGTTCTATAACTGTAGTGTAAGCACACCTCTGGCGAGACAGTGGAGTGAATGATGAAAGATTTCTTTTTCGGGCCACCCTACCTTGGCGGGAAACGGCCAATGTGTTAATAAAAAAATATTATACACAAAAAAGATTAATAGATCATTATCTACTGCTATCCTGCGCTGTATGACCCTTGTAGGCTTAGCGCTTCCTATTGATTATAATAATCTATCACCTCAGCACTTTAGAGTAAATCAAACGTTTATAATTCCTCCAATGATACCGACTGCTTGAGGGGCCATTGCCGCTCACGAAAACAATCCAGATGGTAGTTTACTATGCATCCAATATCCAGCCAGTGAGCAGTAGTGTAAACTCTAGGTAGACTAATCGCAAAAAGGAGACGCATAACAATCGTTATAACGTTCCGCCCGAGGCTGGGTTTTATCAAGTACACAAGAACGAGCAAATACACTTGCCTAATAAGGCACTATAAGTCAGGAAAGCCACATACGATTTCATGAAATTTAACAAACCATAGGTGATGTTATGTAATGTGAAGAGTAGGGATGGAAGTGGAAAAGCAGAGACAACTTATATTAATCTGGGTATTCCATCGATATTGACAAAGCACTGACTGTATATGTCAACGCTCATAAAATTAAAAAATAAGCCAAGAAGCACTCAATCACGCACAAAAACAGATAAAATTAAAAACAATGAACGAGGACTAATACTATAACAGTTAAAATATTAGTTATAAAAGTTCTGTGGAAAATTGCATTTATCTGGATGTAACTCATAATATACATATCAGTAAATAACAAAGGTAATTATTATTTATCAAAGTTACATAAACTAGTAGGAATTTGGGACACCTAGGTCGCAAAAATGTCCCCCTTCGATACGTACAACTGTCATATCCAAAGTTGCTCTTAGACCTATTAATTACAATGAAATATATATCACCAGAATTCTGGGTAAATATAAATTGGTGGACTGTATATTAAATTTATATTTACCCAAAATTTTATATAACAGAAGGAGAATATATCTTAATATCACTCCCCAAATTTTGACTGGAGATTAATGTGTATATACTCAAAAAACCTCACTAACTAAATTTATGAAAATACTGACCAGAATTATAACAAATCTAGATAGCTTATCTGAGGTTCCTGGAGCTGTCTTGTCCAGTCGTCTGATATTTCAATTTATGCAGGAATGCACATCCAACAATTTCGGCTCCTATTTGAGAGGTGTCAGCCCAATTTAACCTAGAGCGACGAAATTCTTCCGATTATTCACTAACGTTTTTTGGCTCATTCAAAACACAATGGCGAGTCTCGTCCTGCGCAGGCTCAGAGTCTCCCTGTCGGCTCCATTCTCTTCTTTTAAAAATACACTTTTAATCAGGTTTATTTACACAGCATAATATTGGGAAATTATTTTCCACAAGTTCTTTATAACTGATACTAGAGTTTTTCCTAAGCAAAAAATAGCCTAAACTTTCAAAAGGTTTCTACAAGCATTTGTAACAAAAAAACATGACCAAGGCAGAAAGACCTAAATCGTTGGCACACTAATAGTGTTACAAGCAGCAAGGTCAAGATGGGAGAGGAAACATGCCTGTAACAGCTTGATATAAGAGACTTGTGTCTCATTCTTAGTCAGGTCAGAGTGATTATCCCTGCTGAAGGAGGGCCAAACAAAAACATCCTGTCAAAGCCTATACAAGTTTATCCTAGACTGCGGGGCTCACTGTGCCCAACATTCCACTAACATTTGTAGATATGACCCAGGAAGTCAAAGAACAAAAACTAGGGAGGGGGCTCACTGTAGTAGCCACTGTCTAGGCATTGGCTAGTTTTTCCAACACATTCTTGTGTTGTGTGTGGAAATGTTGCAACCACTCTTGGATATTTTTGGAACACAGGATGGACAGAGGCATATTGGGCCAGGGCAGAACACGTTGCGAACCTGAGTACAGTGATGATCCTGAGAACCAACTACGCACGCTAGGAAGAATAGAAAGGATTGTTTAAAATTCTGCGGAGATCATTAAGGTATCGTTCTGGTATCATTCAAGGAAGTCAGACGCAGACTTCTGACCTCGCACACTGTAGCCACAATTCACATCCGAACATGGAGCAAATATGTCTAACATGATAAAAGCTCTTCCCTTAGAAATGTTCAAGAAATGGCAAAGTATTTTATCCAGTGGTATATTACAGACCATTCTGGAGAAATAACCTGACTTTGCTACCTGTAAATAAAGCATTATCACGTGTGTGTGTGTGTGTGTGTGTGTGTGTGTGTGTGTGTGTGTGTGTGTACTCACCTATTTGTACTCGCCTATTTGTGGTTGCAGGGGTCGAGTCCTAGCTCCTGGCCCCGCCTCTTCACCGGTTGCTACTAGACCCTCTCTCTCCTCGCTCCATGAGCTTTATCAAACCTCGTCTTAAAACTGTGTATGGTTCCTGCCTCCACTACGTCATTTTCTAGGCTATTCCACTGCCTTACAACTCTATGACTGAAGAAATACTTCCTACTATCTCTCTGACTCATTTGTGTCTTCAACTTCCAATTGTGGCCTCTTGTTTCTGTGTCCCCTCCCTGGAACATCCTGTCTTTGTCCACCTTGTCTATTCCACGCAGTATTTTATATGTCGTTATCACGTCTCCCCTGACCCTCCTGTCCTCCAGTGTCATCAGGCCGATTTCCCTTAATCTTTCTTCATAGGACATTCCCCTTAGCTCTGGAACTAACCTTGTTGCAAACCTTTGTACTTTCTCTAGTTTCTTGACGTGCTTTATCAAGTGCGGGTTCCAAACAGGTGCTGCATACTCCAGTATGGGCCTGACATACACGGTGTACAGTGTCTTGAATGATTCCTTACTAAGGTGTCGGAATGCTGTTCTCAGGTTTGCCAGGCGCCCATATGCTGCAGCAGTTATCTGATTGATGTGTGCTTCCGGAGACATGCTCGGTGTTATAGTCACCCCAAGATCTTTCTCCTTGAGTGAGGTTTGCAGTCTTTGGCCACCTAGCCTATACTCTGTCTGTGGTCTTCTGTGCCCTTCCCCTAT